CCTGAACCCTAAACCCTAAATCTTTCCCTTGAGGTGGATTTCTTCGCGCTCTTCTCCTCCGTAGCGGCAATGCTGGGCTCTCCCGGCCAGGCAGAGTCCGGACTAGACCTCTGCGAAACTATATCCTATCATATTATAGTATATTATAGGATTTGATAGGATAGTATAGTATATTATAGGATATGATAGTATGTTATAGTGTATTATAGGATATAATATCCTATCATGTTATAGTATATGATAGGATATTCTAGTATATTATAGCTTATTATAGGATATGATAGGATATTATAGTATCTTATAGTTTATTATAGTATATTATAGGATATGATAGGATATTATAGTATCTTATAGTATATTATAGGATATGATAGGATATGATAGGATATTATAGTATGTTATAGTGTATTATAGGATATGATAGGATATGATAGTATATTATAGTATGTTATAGTGTATTATAGGATATTATAGTATATTATAGTATATTATAGTATATATTTTTTAGTATATTATAGCAACAATGATGGAATAGACAACTCGATACAGCATTGCAGCTAGTACTACTGGACTCAACAGCTATGCTCGCCGTGATATAACAGATGAGAACACCAGGTCCCACTGCAGTCACAACCTTGAGCCTCTAGTGTGGCAACTGAGTCTTTGTATATCTTAAGAGGTTCATGGGTAGTTACATATAAGCGGGGCTACAAGTCGCCTAATGTGGGTTATAACTATAGTTACCCTACTGATAACCCCATCTATAACTTCCCATGAAACCCAAAACACTAAACCCTAAAAACTCTCCCTAAACCCTAAACCCTAAACCCGCAAGGGTTGAGACGCTTAGCTTCGCTGGGCAGTCATCAACAGGCCTTCAAAAACAGAGACTTCTTCAGAGTAGCAGTGCTTGCAAAGGTGTCTGGAGTGCCCTGGACAGGCGAACTACTGCTCGGGCAACGCCTTCCTTGATTCCTTCGCCCTTCATCGGCAGGGCCAAGGCCTGTTGACGGCGTAAGAAGTGGGGAAGGATATTGTATTATAGTATATCATAGTATATTATAGTGTATCATAGTATATGATAGTATATCATACTATATCATAGTATACTATAGTATGCTATAGTATGTTATAGTATGTTATAATACATTACATGGTCTATTATATGATGGGGGGAAGGCCAGGGCAGGAGCATGTGAAGATCCTAGGCCTGCCAGCTGTGTCGGTGCAGTGGGGACCCTGGGCTGAAGTGGGCATGGCTGCACGGGCTGGGACGACGGAGAGCGGTGGTTACCTGCGCTTGGATCCCACCGCCAGCTTGCAGGCACCTGCCGCCTCCGCTTAGGGGCTTCGGGTGGCCGGCTCTGATTTTTCCATTTCAAGCTGGGGCCCCGCGCAGGCGATGGGTGCAATCTTGGCCGCGAGTCCATCGCCGGGGCTTGTGGGAGTTGCTCGCATCAACTGGTCCTCCTTCTTCGCGGCGCAGCCGAAAGTACCATGCTTCCTTGAGAATTTCCAGCACCACAAGAAGTCGACAGGCCCGGTGCTCAGCGTGCAGGGTACTCCTCTTGCATCGTTCCCTGCGTCAGTGCGAGACCGTGCCAAGTCCGAACCCGGAAAATGCCGTAAAACGCGTCAGCAGCCGGCAGGTGTGAAGATGGGAAGCGGAGGGGTTCCGAAGGCCTGATCTCACCGCTTCGTTCAGGTCTCTGCCATCTAGGCTAGGCCGGTGAGGCCTAGCGAGAACTTCTGCTGCGCTAAGACTGGGAGTGGAGAGTTCGTGTGCAACGTGAGTTGCCAGAATTGTGCAGGATCTCGTGAATTCCACCATCATCAACGTGCTTTGCGACGTGCTGGGGGATCCTGACCTCTCCGACTTTTCGGTACCTGGGTCATGCCCACTAAGATCCAGATGGCTCTGTTTCGGGGCATTCCTGAAGCCCGAAGCCCTGAAAGCGGTAACCCTCAACCCCAAGAGCCTCTTTTTCATCGGCGACGCACGCGGGGGAACCCAGGTACCTCTGATGGACATGGGCTTGGACTCGCTGTCGGCCGTGGAGTTCCGGAACCGGGTCCAAGCCTCCTTCGATGGCCTCCACCTGGCCTCCACCGTGGCTCGGAGATGCCTAGGGCCCGGGGCTTGTAGGGTTTAGGGCTAGCCCTAACATCCCTAAACCTGCGGAAAGGGGTTGAGTTTTTTTTGGGAAGGTTTAGGGTCTCTCATTGAAGGCTTTGTTGGGTCGCTCACGATCTCAGGTCATGTTTGACTATCCCACCGTGGCAGACTTGACCGACTACATCGTGGCACAGTTCAGCGATGGGGATGAAGCTGACGATGCGGCCATTGGAGGCCTTCATATTACATATATATATGTATATATATATGTGGTTACACATACGTACATAATCTATATGTATATATGTATAAATGTATATATGTATATATGTTAGACATATTATGTTGGGGCTGACATGTCAGACGCAGAGCCCTAAGCCCTGAACGGCTTGGTGCCGGCCTCCGCGAGCCTCCGCGAGGTGTGCGGGATCTCAACGCGAACGAGCCCATGGCTACGATCGGCATGGCCGCGAGGTTTCCAGGTTGCCATGGCAATGGCACGAATGAGCCAGGGCCCGAGAGCCTCGATGCTTTTTCTGCTGTGGATCGGGAGGGTTTAGGTTTTAGGGTTTAGGGGTTTGGGGTTTAGGGTTTTAGGGTTTAGGGAGTGCAGACTGTGCATGGCTGAGTCTTGTGATGCTGAGAGTTCCTATCTGCTTGGAGGTATTGGGCTATGCTATGTGCAGGGCTTGACATGATCTCTACAGTCCCCATTGAACGATGGGACATCGACCTCTACCACGATCCCGACCCATCGGTGCCGGGCAAGATGCCTCACGGCTCAGTTCGGAAGGGGACATGGGGTTCTGACTTTAGCTGTTGTCCCTTCCAGGGGTTCTTTACAGAAATGGTTAAACCCTAAACCTTAAACCCTAAACCCCTAAACCCCTTAAACCCCTAAACCCTAAACCCTAAACCCCTAAACCCTAAGCCCCTAAACTCTTATTGTGGAGAAAGTCCCACTGCACTTTAAAAAAAAAAGAACACTCTTATTGCATGATGTACCCCTTCTGCAGGTACACTCGCTGGGGCGGCTTCATCTTCGGCCTTGAGGCCTTGACCTCGAAATCCTTGGGCCTTAGAAACCCTGGGACCCAGTGTCATGGGAGTTTCCGAACAGAAGGGGGTAAATTTATTTTGGGGTCCCTCATAAATAGGGATCCTACTATTTTAGGGTACTATATTGGGGTCCTTATAATAAGGATCCTGCTGTTTAGGGTACTGTATTGGGGTCCCCTATTTTCTTATCATAAGGATCCTACTGTTTAGGGTACTATATTAGGGTCCCCCTATTTTCGGAAACCCCCGTGTCGTGGCAGGGCTTCGACAACAAGATGTTCGGCATCGCAGAGCCGGAAGCACAGGCCATGGACCCACACCAGCGGATTCTGCTTCTCGTCGAGCATGCAGCCTCAAAACCTCCCTCCTGCCACAGCAAACCCTGGCAGACTACCCTAAGCCCTAAACTCTAAACCCCTTGCAGACTTCAGGTTGGAGGTGGTCTACGAGTCTTTCTGGAACGCCGGCCTGGACAAGGCGCATCTGAGCTTGCGCTCCTTCTTTTGCAGACTTCTCCTTGCAGCCCCAAAGGCTCCACCCTTAATGCGAAGCCTTAGAGGAACCCTTAGACAGTAAGCCTTATGGCTTTAAGTCTTCAGCCGTAGGAGCAGCTCTCCAACACCAACTGTGGCTGCTACGTCGGCTGCGCCACTTTGGGCGGCATCAGCGTCCAGGACTTCCCGGATGCAGCGCAGAAAAGCAGCTTAATTCAGAATCACTTCTCGGTCCCTGCCATCGATTCTGGCCTTGAGTTTGAAGCCGAGATGCGGTCCATGTTTGGCATTAGGAGACTTTCGTCATTGGTCCGAGTGGAGATTTCGGTGAACATGTCCTTGTTTGTTCCCGTTGGAAGGATCATGATTTCTACAAGTAGGGCTCATGGCCTGTTGCAGCGTCTGTGTAGACTCCTTCCTCGTTGCAGGTTTGTCCCTGTCTGATTGATGGTGTAAATTGCTTTCTTCGCAGCTGCCTATCTTTGGAAGGACGAAGACATCGGCCCCTTCACCAATATCGGCTCCTTCCCGTCAGGGCGACTCAGCATCTGACTGTCGGGTTGTAATGGTAAGTGCTTAACACCGGACTTCGCTGGTACGTTTCCTTTGCGTGTTGGCAGCCGTGCTCTTGAAGGAACTCGGGCCGTGTCTCCCATGCACTTGGCCTTCGCGGGCCTTGCTTCACTATCGACACTGCGTGCTCGCCACTTGTCACATGTTTCGCCGGAGTTGTGCATGCGGAACGAACCCATCGAGAGAGGGTAGCTTGCCCGAGGTCGACGCTGGTCGCACTGGACTGTGCTGCCCAAGGAAAGCGCCTTGGAAAGTGCGACCGCAGTATCGTGGCCGGCAGCAACCTGTCGCTCGGCTGCAGCTTTCTCAAGAGCGTCCCATGGCGCCGTCAACGACTGCCTGTACCTTTCAGGCAGCTGTGTCCGAACACCTGGGTGTCTTGGCAGCAGACGACCGGCTTTTGCAACAGTTTAGACGTTTGGGAGAGCAACCCGTTGGTGACATCTTCCAAGACAAGGGAAGCCTTATCTCCCCGAGGTGGGCTTCTGCAAAATGGGGATGGCGCTCTCGCCCGATGGACGATGCAAGACGTTCGACGAATCAGCCAACGGCTTCACCCGCACGGATGGTGCAGGGTCTCTGATCTTGGAGCTGGCATCATCTGCCAGCAAGGCTCGAAGCTCACAGTTGCCGATCCCATGAAGAGCTGAAATGTTCAGGCAGGTCGAGTAGTTGAGAATTGACAGGCCGGAAAGCAGGAAGTGGCTACGGCACTGGGGGTGTGCGTGAACCAGGCCAGATCTACCGGGCGCTTAGGACTCAGAGCGTGTACAGTCAAGGATGTAGTTGTAGTTGCGGAAACATGATGGGCTGCTGGCAGACACGACAAGCTGCGAGTACGATGATGCTGATGCTGCTGATGATGATGATGACGAGGAGGAGGATGCTGATGATAGTGGTGCTAGGGCCGATGAAGATTCTCCTGCACTGCTACGGCATACTACGACCCGTAGTACGAATATGAATGTGAGTTCAAGTAGTTGTACTAGTTCCAGTACTACTGCTAATGCTAGCACTAATGCTAAAACTGATACTAAGTCTAAATCGTAAATATGAAAGACTACATACTAAGATACTAAATACTGAGTACTAAATGCTACATGCTAGATATTAGTATTAACGCTAATGCGAATACTGTTACTGTTTCTATTGCTGTCACGACTAGCACTAACATCAACATGGATACGAACACAAATACTAGAATTGCTCGAATGCTAACATGTCATAGCATCTACAGTTATGATTGTAGGACTTATTGTTGCAGTATGGCGTGTTGTAGTAATATGTGCATTGCCAGCAGTGGATTATAATGCCTGTATAAAGTACAAGCGGTAGCAGCAGCAAGAGACAATGACAAGGGCAATCTCATCGACTCGAATCTGTTCGAATGACTGTCTGAGCAGCAATAGCAGCAATGATGGGAATTATGCTGGCACCATCTCGCCCATCCTAGTCCTTGGCTTCATCCTAACTCATCGTCGTGGTCGTCGGATGTAGTCGCTCCTGCTTTGAGGATGGCCGCAGCGCCACCATCACGGCACCCTCCGGACCTGCTCAGCAGCGCTGCATCAACGCCTCGCTTCAGGAGAGGGGTTTCGTGAGATATGGTTCGACACAGGGATTCGGGGGTTACTCCTGATGAACATGGGCTACGGAGCTGGGAAGGACTTCAAAGCGCATGTTCAAAAATCAGATACCCCACACACGCCCAAAACTCCTGGACCCTTGTCCCTTTGAGTAACGAGAGACCCTCGCCCATTCCGCTTTCTTTTTTAGCACTGCTGTTAGGACCTTGTTTGAATTGGACATTGCTTTTGTATCCTTCGATCGATGATGTGGATTGTTTTGACTGTAATTCCTTCTGCTATTTCCAATGTCTTTTCTCAGTAGCATCGTTTCTCTTGTTCTTGATGGATCTATCCGCGATCATTGTCGTTGTTTGGTTTTCGTGTTAATCGTCATTGTGGTGGCTGTTCTGGCACTGGTACCACTACCACTGCCACTACCACTTTCCCTACCACTCCTACTACCACTCCTACTACCACTACCACTACCATTACCACGACCACCACCACTACCATGAACACCGCCGCTACCACGACCACCACCACCACCACCGCCGCCTGCTGCTGCTACTACTGCTGCTGCTGCTACTGCTGCTGCTGCTACTGCTGCTGCTGCTACTACTACTACTACTGCTGCTGCTGCTGCTGCTTCTAAGCCACTGAAGCTACCCTCGTCGTTTTGATGATGAGCAAAGTATCTATGTTGTTGTTCACCGAATTTTGAATGCTGCAGGAAGCATCGGTGAAGGCTTTGGAGGTGTCACTGGTGGAAGTACATGGTACCGGCACTTCCCTGGGCGATCCCATCGAGGTCGGTGGTATGAAGGGCACCTTAGGCAAAGGTCGCACGGAAGACGCGCCTTTGGTGCTGGCCGCGACGAAGTCGATCATCGGACACACCGAAGGCCTCCTGTCTGAGTTCAGGAGGGTACATGCTGAGCATGGACTTTAAAAATGATCTCCACTCTTCCCTGGCCCTTCTCCTGCCATATGGGTGGTTTTCAAAATTAGGGTCCCCTTGTTAGGTTCCCAATATAGTACGGCACCTTATAAAACGGACCCCCAAAAGGGACTCTAATTTAGAGAACTACCCAAATGGCTCGGCCTGCTCCTGCTTGGTACTCCTCTGCCTCTGCCCGAGGTTCTGCGGGTGTTGCCGGCCTCATCAAGATGATTGGTGAGTTCAGCTACAGGCGCCTTGAAGCGTCTGCAAGCAGCTGCGGTAGGGAAGCAGCTGCTGCATATTGCACCTCATTTCATCAACTGTCAGGATCGTGCCGAAGAACCTGCACCTGAAAAAGATGAACCCCAACATCGATTTAACCGACTTCCCTGTCATCATGCCGAGCAGTATCGTTGATTGGAAGGGATCCCGAGCAGTTGCAGGCACATCTTCCTTCGGCCTCTCGGATGCCAAGCTTGTCGTCGTAATTTTTGTTGCTCATGTTTGCATTCGTTGCTTTAACGTCCAGCAGACGAGGATTCTCTGGTACCAACAGCCACGGCACCTTGGAAGCTCCGGGTGGAGGAGACGGAAAGGACGTGGTGTTGGAGCGCCCCGAGAAGCTGAAGTGGAATCGAACCTATCATCGGATGTACCACGACTGGTCTCAAGGCCTCTGGTTTGCCACTGAGTGGCGTTCCGCCCCTCTTCCCGCAGGCAAGTCCGGATCCGGCCCCTGCCTGGTGATCGGAGGTGGTGCCTTTGGTGATGAGTTGAAGAAGCTCATGGAGACCAGCTCCGTGGCGGCCAAGGCAGATGAGCTGCAGGCCAAGATCCAAGGCAACGCCTGGAAGACCGTGGTCTTTGCCGAGACCCTGGTGGCAGAGGATCCGACCGCAGAGGGCCCCGCAATGGCGGCCTTGCTAAGTGCGGCCCAAGCGGCTGCGATGTCTCCTTCGATGCGCTTCGTCGTGCTCACTGCAGGGGCTCAGGAGGCGGAGGCTTCCGGTGACTTCATGGGACGTGGCCTCCTGGGCGCGGCAGCCTGGGGCTTCATGCGCTCCATGCCGCTGGAAGCGCCAAAGCTCCAAGCCCAGGTCATCGATCTGACGGGGCCTCAGCTTCCACCCTTTTTCCTTCCCTACTGTAGTTTCTTCTTTAAGTTTTCCGGCCACCCCATCATTGTTTTGCAGCTTTTTGCAGCTTCTTCCTTTCGAGGCCGTGCTCTTACAGCAGCTCCCTGACTTCCTGGGTGCAAGTCATTGCAGATGAGCTCTCTTGTGAGGACTGAAAGTATCGTTGAAGATGTCTCTGTGCAGCAGGGTTTAGGAATTAGGGTTCATTATCCGCAAAGCCTGATTCTTCTTGGCGAGCTGTGCTTCTCACTCACTTCTGGAAGGACTTGGAGCGTGAAGTCTCTTATGGAGACGATTCTGCAAGGCGCGCGCCACGTTTGGCGAAATACACCATGAAGCCGGGCGTTGCTCGGCTCTTTCTTGGAGTGTGGTTGCCATCGCTTAAAGCAGTTTTGGGCTGGAGCAGTGATAATGCAATGGTCACGACCATGAAGAGGACACAGATCACGAAGAGAACGAAGCAAAGAGGCAAAGCCATGACAGTAGCAAAAAGACTACAAGGAACAACAGTGATATCGGCAGAAGCATTGCGCGGTCGTTGTCGTGATGGTGGTGTTGTGATGGTAAAGCGGTAGTGATGGTAGCGACGCATCAAGGATGGTGAGACAAGCAGAAAGTAAGGATACGTATAGCAAAGAGGAATACTTGCAGCGAGAGTATTGCAAGTACATGGCATAGCAGTTACATCGTAGCAAACGGATGGAAAGGATGATGCATGTCACAATGACGGAGCAAATAAGCGAGTGAAAATAATAGCGTAAACACACACTATGTGGTAATAACTGACGACTTTCATGAAACGTGCGAAAGCTGATGCTGATGATGGTCACTAGCCTGGGGCTTGTGGTGGAACGTGGGGCAGCTGATGCTGATGATACTGGCTGGTCAGGGGTTTGTGGTGGAAAGCCAATAGTCATGATGCTCGCTGGCCTGGGGCTTTTGGTGAAAGGTGGGGCAGCTGATGCT